TAGTAACACTAACAGAGCTTCCCCTCAATCACCAAGTTCTACAGACTACCATCATCCAGTCGTTTGAAAGAAAAATTGTTTTTTACCCTTCTACAGAACTGAATATTTTTTTGCAAAATGAAATTGCACAACATTCACTGAACTTTCATTATTCAGCTGAATTATTTTATGTCCTCTTTGACATGACTCTAGCAGCAGTGCTATTCAATATTGCCATTTTATTGTTAATGTGTATCTATGGTCAAAATGTAAAATCATATAGTAATTGCCACATTGTATTTCAATTATTTCTAGTCTAAGCCTATAAATCTGAATATAGAAGTAAACTTCCTTTGTGAAGATCTCCATATTTGCTTCCTTGAATTCTGTGACACATATTCACTATGTCCTGTGAACAGGCACTGCTGTGTCACAGAATTCACAGAGCCTGCCTCCTGAACAACAAAGGTGCCGAGAGGATGAGTTTCAGGGGAAGGAGTCAGTACAGGAATCACTGCCGGCAGGCAGCAAGGTACCATGAGATATGTAGAAATTGTAAGTAAACTGCAGAGGAAAAGCTGCAAAGGCCGCAGGGAATCCAGGATGTTGTGGAAAGATGACAGAACATGAAAGGAGATTTTTCAGGTAAGCTTACATGGGATTGTCAAAAATAAAGATTGTTTGTATGGTTAATACAATGCTGATGTTATAAAACAGATATGTCTGCTGTGGAAACAGAACTCACAATTATAATAATATATCTATGTGTACATTAGCATAGGTAACCATGTTTTTTCTTTGATGTTACACTCTCTTAGGCTGGTTACACCAAGAAGATCTTAACTCCACCATGAAACTGGCATTTACAAATTTAAGTGATCATATTCAATTTGTCATTCAAAATTTGCTAGTTCCTTGATCCATAATATTTTTTTTTAGACTTTTTGTGTATTCTTGCAAAGCAGAATTTATTCATTGTAGTGGGCTGAATGTCAATCTACTAAAGTATTAGAACCACTCTCGGGATTTATTACTTTGGGTGTCTCAAAAGGTACGTTGTTGACATTCTCCTTTACACTTTCCTTGAATGGTTTAGACTTAAAGTGGAACTCTATTCAATTTATTTCTATTTGAATAGAGCAGGAAAGGGTTCTCTTTTAGATTTGATTTCACACTGGGTTGCTAGAATGCATTAATCCATTCTAAAGAACATTTTTTTGAATAAGTGTATTGTTTTTATAACTTAATCCAAACTGCTCTCCAAGGTTCTGATTTTTTGTATATGTTAGCAATTTTCATTTTGTAACAGTGATCTATACGGTTTATCAAATTCATAGCCACTTTGATAATTTTTTTGTAACTAAAGGCTTGTTGGAATGGCCTGAAAATGGCCATGTTTGTCAAGTGTGAGAGCTATGAAAAATATTCTAAAATACCCTAACAATGTTTCTTACAATCTCAGTCAATTTGGATTTATGCATTCAATCCTATAAAATCTTACACATATTTAAGATTTCTTAGTATTTCTACCTAAATGTGTACACATCGTGTGTCTTCATGTGGCTTATCGCAGACCTTGAGCTCTATTAGCCAGAAAGCCTCTACTGTGCCTGTTCTGTGGTTTCATTTCACTTTATTATGGGGCACTCTTATAGGACACAGGATGAAAGTTGCTGGAAACTACAGTAAAATGTCAAATTCCTTAGGTAATAATAAAAGGTAAGAGTAGGAACCTTGTTGTATGAACTCTTCCTAAGGAAAATACAAAAACGGATGTTCACTTTAAAGAGGCAACCTTATTGCGATCAGTAGGTTTTTTTGGCATGACATGAGAGCCTAACTTGTGTTATTTCATTGCAATGTGGTCCACACAGGGAGCTGGAAGAAGAAACACCAGAAACGCTCTTCATGGACTTTCAACAATGAATCTAGCCTGTGATTAGTATGTCTCCAAGATGCAGCGAGTAACCATTTTAGGTGGAATGTTCAGACCAACATGTTGGGAAGTGTATTGTGCTACGCTAAAAAGTTGTTCTTCAGCCAAAAGGTTGGAGCTTCTGTCAGCTCCTCATTGATGCCTATGTCCCTGTTGTGGAGATTGTCCTGCCTTCTTATGTGGTCCCAGCAGAAAAATTACATGACTGGAACACAAGGGAAAAGGGGGTGGTTTTCATTCACTCCCTGATGGGCCCCCAGTCTAAGACAAGTTTTTCTTTTTTTTTTCATATTCAGAAGCAAGCTTCAGTGGTTGGTACCCATGTTCCTGTCCTGTAGTTGCCCCCGCTGGGCTGGTGAGCCTTGGGCAGCTCCTTTAGTGATGCAGTCCTGAGTAGCACTCAGACTTAGAGAGAGAAGATTAGAACAGTAAACCAATCAGTGATCTGATATGCAGAGTGCATATAAACCCATAAACCTACCTTACAGGAGGATAAAACACAGAGTTCACCTCAGCAGTGTGAGCTCCTTCCTTACTTACAGGCTAGCTAGTCCTTGACTGGACTAACATGCTTTAAAGTGGTTGGAAAGCCAGAAGGTTTTTTGACCTCCTGCATGCAGCTTCCCCTGCAGCCCCCCCCCCCCCCCCCCTCTAAAAAAAATACACACCTAAACCCAATCTCAATCCAGCATGTGCACAAGAGCTGAGGCTCTCTTGTTTCTTTCACTCCTCATTAGCTCAGACACAGCAGTAGGAGCCAGTTGCTCCCACTGCTGCCAATCAGAGCCAGTGATGTGGAGCGTGGAGGAGCAGTGCCAATCCCCGCTCTGTATGTCTTATGAACACACAGAGCATGGCTCAGTATCGAGCATGCACAAGTTCCCCCATAACAAGTGGCATAGGGGGGGAGGGGGGGGGTTTGAGCTAAGAGCGCTGACAGGGGACCCTAGAAGAGGAGAGTAGTAGGGGCTGCTCTGTACAAGACCATTGTATAGAGTAGGTAAGTGTGACATGTTTGATATTTATTTTTATTTTAATAAAAAAAGTGAAGCTTTACAATCACTAAGTAAATCTAACCCCTAACTGGAAGACATATGGTTTTTCTATGGCACTGTGTTAAAGCAGCTTCGTTCAGCCGTTTCCTGTCTACATTTGCTCATTCCTGCGTTTGCTGTACATCACTCTTCTGAACTGGTTTCTATGTTTTGGAACAGCCACCACTGTCATCCCATCACAAAAACTGCCTATATAAAGACCTTCATGGTAGAATCACCATATATTATTGCAATGAGAGCTACATATTTAAAAAGATTACAAATCGCTTTTTGAATGACATTAACATGTTAAGGTGTTTCCAAATCAAGAAAAACAAAGATTTAAAAATTATGAAGCTTACCAGTGTTTAAATATGGTTTCTTTTATTTTCACCAGGTGATCCTGGCAGCAAAACGCTTTCTGTCCTAGGGTTACAATGATTTCTGTACTACTATCTATAAAGGAGCAGTGTTATCACCCTAGGACAAGAAGAGTGTTGGGATGACAGAACAAACCCCCCCCCCCCTTTCTTATTGCAATAATAAAGGAGGAAGGTGTTTGATAGCCCACAGAAAGAATTAGGAATAATGCTCACTGATTATAGTGCAGCAGAGGCAGAGAGCACAGGAAGCCATAGGTTCAATAGATTTCTGGCAGGTATTTTAGTTTCTGTACTTACCAAACAAATAAAAGAAAATGCTATTAATGGTATACTGAATTTAACAAACCAAAAGGGACCAGATTAGAGAAGATGTTAGGGTTTGGGAGTATAGTTTACTGGAAGGTTCAGGACCTGCTGTGTACCTGAATCACAAGACAAGCGGAAAAAGCCATTTTTTCCCCAAAAAGAGTAGTAAACATATAGGAGTAGGAATGAAAATAGGGTTATCGGCATTTTTCTTATAGAAAAAAAGGTCCCAATAATGGCATGCTGCATCCCATAGACTTCAATGCAATATTGTTCCCTTAGACTTTAATGCAAAATCGCACCTTATAGACTTCAACGCAAAATCATGTCCCATTGACTTCAAAAGGCCAAGCACATTAATTATTTTTTTTCCCCCCATAAACAGTCCATTTCAGTTTTGGTTTTCAGCCAAGTGCATCCTGAATTTTCAGTTTCGGCACTGGAATTTTCATTTTGGTGCACCGCTAATTAAAGGGTTTATTGTTAACAAATAACTGGATTAAAATGTATGCATTATTACTTGCCTAGAAACAGAAACAAGCACTATAACAAAAAAGATACATCCAATATGTTTTTATTGTATCCATGCTTTCCCATCTTTTGTCAAAGTAATACCACAGCACTGATTGATACATCATCCAGAATTGCTTATATATTAAAAGCCCCTAATAATAAGTAAGTATTTTTTGCTAAACACAGATGCTGTGTTCACCATAACTGCACACAAAAGAGAGGGAGAATGCACAAGATTGACCCAGCCACTGTATCACTATATATGAGGAGAGGTAGTGCAGTATGGCAAACTCTATTTATTCCATGCAGGACTATGTCTTTATGTGTAAAGATAACACACTCAAGCAATTATAAATAGCAGACAAGAACAGCATTGGTTGTGATTACAAGAAATGCAATTAGCAATACGTGTCCTTCAAATGTTAGTAATAGAAATATTTTCACTTGTATTATGATGTAGATTATCTCTGTTTTTTGCTGCTATGCACAATAAACAATAATTAAAGTTCTCATTATATTCTCCAACAAATGTATAGCGAATGGTAAAGGTAAAGATTCCTGGAAAGGTATGATACATTTATCACACATTTATCACATTATCCATAGGAACAGAATACACCTGCAGGGAGAACAATCAGCAGGTAGGGAAATACATGATATATTTACAGCTGCTAGTAACACTGAAAGTTGTGGACAACACACAATTGGTAAAGAAATGGCCCTTGGATTTGGCACATCAGGAGTAGTTAATGTGACAAAGAACATTTATGAGATAATAGAAGCATGTCAGCTTCCTTGTCCTCTTCCAAAATATTCTTCCCCACCTGGTCCCGCCCCTCGTTTCTCTGCTCAAGGCTTCACATTTAGGGAGGTAGCTGATCTCTCGTGGTGCCAATCACGCAAGCGAGTATATCGGGGGCTCTGAAGCTCTGTGATGAACTTTTCCCTGTGTCACGGGGAGGGAGGGGATTGGAAAGTGAAAATATAAGGGGGGTAAGAAAGAACAAGAAAAAAAGAACAGAATAAGAATAGAAGAAATGACAAAAGAAGAAAACAAGTATAGACAATGGAAGTAATTTCAGAACCCTTTATAATAATGGGAAATGCTCACCTATGGATGTATTTTGTATTTAAAATTAATCAACTACACAGCAGATGTTTTTGGCTAAAGATCTCTTGAAAAGTCTCCTGCTAAAAATGTATTATAGATTTGATTTTGTCTATTTCAACTAAGATGAACATGTATACAAGACATCAGTTGAGAAATCTGACCACTACATGATATATGTACAGAGTAATCAAGGTGTAAATACGCACAATTGCACTAGTCTTAAAGTGTATATAAACCCAAAAATGTAAATTTCATGAATTCCAGTTTGCTAGTCCTAGTACTTGGATAGTGTGGGCTGCATTAGTTTTATTTTGTTAGGCTTTTTTCTTTACCTGGTGATCCTGCCAGTATCATACTTCCTGTCCTTGGGTTTAAATATTATTTAAAGTCATTGCAAAGGCTGAAGTTATTTTTACCTTGATGCAGTCTAAAAATCATCTGTGTGCAGCTCCTCACTCATCCCCCCCCCCCCCCCCCCTTACCTGAGCCCGATCTCGATCCAGCGATGTGCACAAGAGCAGAGGCTCTACCACCTCTCTCCCTTCTCTTCTTGGCCCAGAGACAGCAGCAGGTGCTAATGGCTCTCGCTGCTGTCAATTCCAGGCAGTGAGGAGGGAGCAGGGGGCAGGGCTTCCAAAAGGACACACAGAGTGGGGCTTGGGAGCGAGCACGCACAAGTGCCCCAATAGCAAACAGCTTGCTATGGGGCATTCAGCAGAGGGAAGGAGCTAGGAGCACTTGCAGGGACCCAAAAAGAGGAGGACCAGGGCTGCTCTGTGCAAAACCATTGCACAGACCAGGTAAGTATGACATGTTTGTTATTATAAAAAAAAATGTTTCTTTAATGTCATTTTAAAGTGTAAGTTCAGCTTTAAAAGAAAAAAATGAAAAGTTGAACTAAACACCCTACACCCTTTGCACCCCCGTTACCTGCTGCACTTACTTCCATGGGTGATTAGCTGCCCAGACAGTCAATGCAGTCGTCCAGGGGTTTGAAAGTCCTACTGTTCTTCCCCTTCATTTCTAAGGACTTCCAGGATGGATCAGAGTGATTCTGATTGGTCAAGAGTTGGCACATGACCACTTTGACTAATCAGAATTGTTCTAATCCACCACGAAAGCCCTAAAAAAAGGGGAAGAAAAGTGGGGCTATTGAATCTCTGGACTGACAGTGAGAGCTAAATCACAGACAGAGGTAAGTGTAGGATGATACCAGGGGATAGGGAGGGGGTAGGGTGTTAGTTTACCTTTTAGTTTTTGTAAAAAGGTGAACTTACTCTTTAAAGAATATCTAAACTTAAAAGAAAAAAATAATCTAATGCAGCTTATCAGTCTCCTAGATGGGATGGCTACTGTAATTGTTTCAGGCCAAGAACCTTTATTTTGCAAATTCAGAAAATACCTGTTTAACTTACCGTAAATGCAATATCCTTGTCACTTCCTGTGAACCGAACTGATATACATTAACTGATATACTGTATCTTTCATTCAAGCTGTCTTCTGTAAACTACTAAACCCCATGTAAGGGAGATGAAGAGAGGAAGACATTTAAAGTCCAGGCTTGGTGGCTCCCTTCTTAGGTATAGTGGGTTGAGTGAGCATAGCTACCCCAGAACAGAAGTATGGTATTTGCAAGTTTACCAGGCAAAAACAAAATTAAAAAAGACATGTTTTTGTAGCCACACTTTAAGAATTGTTTTCTGTTAGTTATAATTTTTAAGCTTTTTTGGAATTGGAATGTATTGCAAATATGTATGAATGCACATTTTCTGTGTGTCTCAGTAGGAGCAAGCATCTGCATGTCTTAAATGCATGTTAAGTGCATGATATGTGTATATGTGGTGCCATTAATTGTCATTGAAAGAGTACAGCCAGCTATGGCTAAACTGCAACAAGCAGTACCTTTTAAACACACACTACACAAGACGCATAGGTGAGAGCTGTACCAATATAACCAATAGTAATAGAACTCTCATTATGCGATAAGTGCAGTTTTAATAGATGCAAAAGGAAAATAAAATACATAAGTGTTCTTAGGACAGAAGATTTAATGAAGGTGAAATATTTCAAATCTTGACAATAAATTATTTAGAGCAGCAGTCTCCAAACTGGGGCCCTGGGGCGCATGCGGCCCTTTACTTGCCTTTGAGTTAACCCTCAGGTGGTACTAATCTTGTACTTATTGCACTATATGAAGTTTATTGTTTGGGCAAATGTAGCGCCTATTTATATTTTATTTGCACTTTGCTTGCCTTTATCCAGCCCTTGAGGAATTAGTCTTTCCAGGGACACCAACAATGGGGCAGAATTCCTGACACTGGCACCAACAATGGGGCACTATTCCTCCCATTGACAACGCGTATTTCTCCCCCTAATACCAAAGATCGAGCATTGTTTACTCCCACTGGGCACAGTCCGGCCCTCTAAAGTCTGATGGACAGTAAACTGGTCCTTTCTTTAGGAAGTTTGGAGACCAGTGATTTAGGACTACTTTAATCCTTTGTAAACAGACTGTTTATATGTAAAACTGCCTATCTTTGAACTTATTTTTTTTCCCCATTTACATTTTTTACCTACTTACACATTCATTTATTTATGCAGCTGCATTTGTAGGACATAATCTCTAACTTATTTGTTTTCAAACAATATTAATGTCATTTGCCATTATACTTGACCAAAACTAGTAATATCCAATTTCAGATCTATTTGAGCATAGTATTGAAAATAAAGTATTTGACTAATTTACTTAGATGTAGCCAATATTTACAGGGCTGCTGCTGGAGAGCAGTATTCGTTTATAGGAGCCAATACAAACATTAGATTTTTTGGCCTTTTACATTGTGCTTAGGGTCCAGCTGTTAAGGCATTTTTAGAATAAAGCTTTTAGGAGAAGAGAGGCTAGCACTGTAACTGGGTTAAACTGTATCTGCAGCTTTAAGTGTCTGCTCTGCAAAATATATTTATAGAATACAGGGGCTGGACCACTTGAAAAGGAAACGAGTTTGTAATTAATACACTGAAGCTAAACTACATTTTATATTTTAAAAATAAACTAGCAACAAGAGACATATGTCTTTGGAGACTTTATGAATTTGCATTATACCCCGGTCACACCAAATCCGACTTTGAACTTGTGCAACTTCACTGTAAGTTGCACGATTTCAAAGTCAGATGACATGCCGATTTCAGGTGCGATTTGCAAGACATCTGACACAGATTTCTATGCAAATCGCACCAAAAGTAGTTCATGCACTACTTTAGAAATCGATGCGGCTCCAACCAAGTCGGATCCGCACCGATGTAATTGCAGACAATAGGATGCGACTTGGCATGCGATTTGCAAGTTGCATGGCATGTAAATCGCATGCCAATTCGCATCCAGTGTGACTGGGGACTTAATACAAAATGTCCAGTTAGCATTGCCACATTGTCATGATGTAGTATTAATTTTTTTTTTTTTTATTCTTGACAAATCAGGCATTTAAACTACATGTATGGAAGAAATTGTGTTCCTGTATTCCCCACACAGTTTTATTAAACCTGGACCGTATTAAAGGGAATGTTATAAATAAGAAGACCTGTCTCAAAAGTATATATCTCCCTTGGATGGAGGTAGCCATTCTCCAACTTTCAGGCTATATATTCTACTTCTAGATTAGTAGAGCTGATCCTACTTCACTGTCGTGAAACTAGTATGTGACTTGGGAATCAGAAAAAAAAATTTGATTTTGAAAAAAGGTATGTTCACCCATGAATCAATTTAAAGTGAACATGTCCTGGCCTAATATGTCCCTAAGATACCAGCACTTGTGTCAGTCATATAATCAGTGCCTTTTCAGAAAAAGCCTTGGATCTTAGCCACAAGATATACTTGGGGCCTCGACTTCTGCTCTAGTCAAGATTAAGCGTTAAGCCCAGCCAATATCATGCAGCTGTCAAATTACAGAACCTCAGTGGGCAGTAGTGTTGCTGGCATTTAGAAGTTGAATGACAACAGTATGGATTAATATCAGTTTGGACCTAGGTTCCAATGAGCCTCCACAGAGATAAAGGGATTCATCTGAAGCCTGTGAAAGATACTTGAATGCACTGCAATGTGCCTGAATCTCAAGCACTTCTAAGTGTTTTAGGCCAGAGCAAAATAACTTTCATTTAGAAAGTGGAAAACCTGTTTGCATACGTATCCCCAATAATAACCCTCCTATTTCTAGAAAGTAGGGCACAGCTATATAGGTGATTTCTGGCCAATCTATATTTGGGTGTTTATGGGTAATAATAACAGTAAAAACACATAACAAGTGAATGCACAGTTGATTTTTCTTAATATTTATAGATGATGAAAAATCAAACTCTCTAATGGATTTGAAAGCCTAATTTGCATTGAAATATAGTTTTCATATGGAGATATTGCTGAAGCAGTATAATATCATGGTTAATAAACTACGACTAAATTTGATTAAATATCTGCTGATAGCAATAATATTAAAAATAATAAAGCTCTGTTATACCCATTCTGTTTTGAAAGTTGTGATGGGTGGGTAATTTTACTCTTTGCAAGACTTTGTACCTGAAATCCCAGTAGGATTCCCTGAGCAACAATACAATAGGCCTGCTATTTTAAAAGTGAAAAGAAAAAAAAAGTGTGTGTGTACCATGGTTGGCTGCAATGGCCTATCGTGCAACAGTAAAATGACATCTGGAACCTAATCAGGTTGCCACTGGTCTATTATTATTAAACGGAGGAAAAAAGGCTTCTGCCATTGGCTGTACTTTCAGCTGATACTTACCTCATTCTTTTCATTTGCTCATCATCAGGGTCTTGCACTGCAATTAGTAAGAAAGGGCAGGAAAAATAGACAGAAAAAAGAAGAGCATGAGATAAAAGTCAGAGAAAGTAAAGTAAGGGACAGTAGGTAAAACTGTTTGTGGAAGGGTAACCTCATGTCATTAGTTCTTATGAGGCAGCAATAAGCAAATTGATCGTAAAGGTAATAATGAGATGGAGTAGGTTAGGGAACATACAGCAGATATTACTTTTGATTTTCTTCAATAATGAAGGTTTTAATGCGTTTTGTGTGGTTCAGAGACTGCAGCCTCACTGAGCTGCAGTTCTCACACTAACAACTAGAATCAATCTGCACAGTTCTCAACCATGTGATCATAGAAACTGCATATATTTTCAATCCAGAGGAGCACATGAAGTTTATTTACAAACAAACCTGCCTTCTTTTAGGCTAGGTTCACACCTAAGTCCATTTAACATGATTTCCTATAGGTGAAGTTTTTTAAATGCATTTTGGTTCAATAGACTGCAATGGAGCTGCTGAAAAAAAAAAAACGTAGTGCGTTTTTTATGTATTTTTGGTGCATTTTGCAGTTTTAATCTGTCCTGCAGCAAGTTGGTCAAATACCCTCCCCCCCACAGAAAAAAGCAAGATGCATTGCAAAAAGCACTGCAGAAACAGATCAAACGCAAACTATGTGTGAACCTAGGCTCACTCTTGTTCACACAGCGTGACAGAAAAACAAAGGTTTTACAGTTTGATTAAGAACTGCTCACTGCAAATAACAAAAAAATAATGTTTAACATTTTTGCCCATTGACAGATTAAAATAAAAACATGAGCACAGAATTTAGTAACAATTACTTAGGAAGTCAGAATGATTAGGTTATTATCAAGTTAATAAATGCATACTAAGGCAGCTAAAGGGTACGTGGTTAGGGCAATATTATTTTTCCAATGTTTATTTGCTATTTTACAAATAAATATTTAATACATGACAAAGGATTCTACTTTGCAAAATATTGTTTACTCCATAACCACTGTTGTTTAAAATTGATTTGAACCTGATAACCATCTTCACACTTTCACAAGAGTGGGATGCTCTGTGTGGTTTTTGTCCTGTATAGGAATGCCAACATTCCATGGCTACAGTTGTGTTCAAAATAATAGCAATGTGTAGAAAAAAGTGAATAAAGCTCAAAATCCTTCTAATAGCTTTTATTTCCATACACACAAATGCATTGGGAACACTACACATTCTAATCCAAATCAAAACATGAAGAAAAGTACGGTATATCAAATTTGTGTTGTTCCTCTAAAAAAATTGAAGAAAAGTGAATATTAGACTGTTTAAAAAAATAGCAGCGTTTTGTATTCTTCTTTACAAACTCAAACATTCACTATATAAACTGAAAAAATGTTTGAAGATTTTGCTTTCCTTTGAATCAATTAATATTTAGTTGTATAAGCACTGTTTCTGAGAACTGCTGTACATCTGTGTTGCATGGAGTCAACCAACTTCTGGCACCTGTGAACAGGTATTCCAGCCCAGGATGATTGGACTACATTCCACAGTTCTTCTCTATTTCTTGGTTTTGCCTCAGAAACTGCATTTTTGATGTCACCCCACAAGTTTTCTATTGGATTAAGATCCGGGGATTGGGCTGGCCACTCCATAACGTCAATCTTGTTGGTCTGGAACCAAGGTGTTGCACGTTTACTGGTGTGTTTGGGTCATTGTCTTGTTGGAACACCCCATTTCAAGGTCATCTCCTCTTCAGCATAAGGCAGCATGACCTCTTCAAGAATTCTGATGTATTCAAAATGATCCATGATCCCTGGTATGCGATAAATAGGCCCAACACCATAGTATGAGAAACATCCCCATATCATGATGCTTGTGCAACCATGCTTCACTGTCTTCACAGTGTACTGTGGCTTGAATTCAGTGTTTGGGGGTCGTCTGACAAACTGTCTCCGGCCATTAGACCCAAAAAGAACAATCTTACTTTCATCAGTCCACAAAATGTTTCCATTTCTCTTTAGGCCAGTCAATGTGCTCTTTGGCAAATTGTAACCTCTTCAGCACATCTTTTTTTCAACAGTGGGACTTTGCGGGGGCTTCTTGCAGATAGCTTGGCTTCACATAGGCGTCTTATAATTGTAACAGTACTCACAGGTAACTTTACACCTTCTTTGAAGCTGATTGTTGGCTGAGTCCTTGCCATTTTGGCTATTCTTCTATCCATTCGAATGGTAGTTTTTTTCGCTTTCTTCCACGTCTTTCAGGTTTTGGTTGCCATTTTAAAGCATTTGCGATCATTTTAGCTGAGCAGCCTATCATTTTCTGCACTTCTTTATATGTCTCCTCTCCTCTCTAATCAACTTTTTAATCAAGGTATGCTATTCTTCTGAACAATGTCTGGAACGACCCATTTTCCTCAGAATTTCAGAGAGAAATGCACTGTAACCAGCATGTACAACATTTGCTGCCTTCCTTCCTTAAATAAGGGCAATAATTGCCACGTGTTTTTCAAAGAATGAATGACCTCACTAATAGAACTCCACACTGCTATTATTTTGAACATGCCCCTTTCAATTAGTGATTCAATTACACAGAATCAGCAGCATGCATGTCATGACTGTTGGATTTCTATTACTCTACTACACCTGCTAGTAAATTATTTGCCATGTAGAAATATCATTTCTACCAAAAACAGTGATTGATCAGGTTAGTGATGTCTGACTGCAATTATTTTGAACACAACTGTATATTAAAACTGATTGATAAAAAAAATTAGAAGTTAGCTACTCATCCTTCCTCCGAAATCCATATGCTGAATCCCCCCCTCAAAAGTCACTCCCTCTGTGAAAAAGTACTTTACAAAATCCCCATCTACTCCTAAACTCATGCATTGCCATTGCCCATCTCTACACTCAACTCATATACTGGAATCCCCATCTCTATCCCTCAACTTATGCACTGGAATCTCCATCTCTACCCCTCACCTCATATACTGGAATCCCCATCTCTACCCCTCAACTCATATACTGGAATCCCCATCTCTACCCCTCAACTCGTATACTGGAATCTCCATCTCTACCCCTCACCTCATATACTGGAATCCCCATCTCTACCCCTCAACTCATATACTGGAATCCCCATCTCTACCCCTCAACTCGTATACTGGAATCCCCATCTCTACCCCTCAACTCGTATACTGGAATCCCCATCTCTACCCCTCAACTCGTATACTGGAATCCCCATCATTCTACCCCTCACCTCATATACTGGAATCCCCATCTCTACCCCTCAACTCATATACTGGAATCCCCATCTCTACCCCTCAACTCGTATACTGGAATCCCCATCTCTACCCCTTAACTCATATACTGGAATCCCCATGTCTACCCCTCAACATATGCATTGGAATCGCCATCTCTACCCCTCAACTTATGTACTGGAATCCCCAGCTCTACTCCTCAACTCATATACTGGAATCCTCATCTCTACCCCTCAATTCATATACTGGAATCCTCATCTCCACCCCTCATATCAGCCATTGGAATCCCGAACTCTACCCCTCAACTCATGCACTGCCAAAATTTTAGCAAACTTCTGCTCTTCCTCAAACCCCTCACTCTAATAATGGCTGCTGATTAATCCATTGCCTGCCACACCACTGGCTGCAATTTTGGTTTTTGGCTTTAAAAAATCATGGTGGGGATGGGTAGTGCAAATTCTCCACCATAATGACAGCTACATGTTGCTGCACACACTTGTCCCATAAACTATTTCAGAGGAGAAATATCCTCTCCAAAAGTGTGCTGCTACTAGACATGCACAATATTCTGTGCAGTAAGGCATGTTAGCAGGGGATGCCACTCGCTTGAAAATCATAGCAGTCATTGCATAGCCTACTGTACTGGGTATGTGCAGTACACTTATCTCCCTCTCTTGCTCATACTGCCTGCTGTCATACTCTCCATGCTCCGCTCTTGAAGATATTGCTCCACATTATACGGTGTGCAGTCCTTTCCTATACACACTGCCTGCTACCAATTCTTGACCCTTTTGGAACAGGCACATTTTGCTAATACAAAATATATTTTGTGTCCTACTCTGTCAACAAAAAAAGTAAAATATTTAGCCTAAAGCAATGAACAAATGAATTTTTGATAACTGCCAGTTCAACGAACCATCTTTAAATAATGTGCTAAGGCAATTAAGTATTTCTTCTGGGTCTAGTTTTTTATATTATTATATGGTTTTCTGTGCTGACAGATGTCAAATCATATCTATTCTGTTAAAGCCGAACACCCCAAAGCAGTGAAGAAATGGTTTCAGCAACTTAGTGGATTTTGCAAACTCCTTAACATTTCATTAAAAGAACACGCTTTTTTAAGAACATGAATTTATAGTTATTAGCCACCAGGATGCTTCCTATAGCACTATAGATATTCTTGTGCGCGACCAATATTGGGCCATGTATAAAAGGGAAAAACGCTCATGCAATTAAATGGTTTTTATGGGACAACGGTCACTACGTTGGAGCACTTCTCATTTAGTATAGCTGAAATGCTTATGTGGCACATCCATGCAGATACACTTACTGAAATCTGTGCCAGTGAGTTGTGCCAGGATGCGGAAAGAGCGGGACTGAGTAGTCCCTGTACGAGGCTTCCAATCCTCGGTGTCCTCTATCAGCCTTTTTTTACTGGAGTCATTAGGGAGGAAGGCTGGTTGGTAGTCCATCCTAAGCGAGTGCCTGCCGTTCGAACAAATGGAGGAATATGGAGGAAGAGGGGGGGAGGAGTTGGAGAATACAGGTAGCAGTTAAAATGATTTAGTGTTACTCACAAAGCAACACAGCCTATGAAACACTACAGGCTTCATTAGTTTTTTTGGGGGGGGCACTTACTTGTCGTCTAAAAGAAATGTGTCGAAAGAGGGATGGTTCACTCCGTTCAAGACCTTGGAAACGTTCTGCTCTTTGGGGTTTATACCAACGCTATGAGAGCGAAGAATGTTACACACATGGAAAACCTTGTATTCTTTGACAACATATTTACCAAGAACACATAACTGCCACTACTTCCAATGACATCCCTGATCCCAGCAGCAATTGTCTTTGTCAACATGCAGACAAAATGTATTAGGTGCAAAGGCTCATAAAAGTGAACACACACACATATATTAGTAGAGACACAACAATAAGCAATGCTTACTGACTTTTCTATGTTCTCCACCTGCAAGAAAAAAAAAAAAAAAAAAAAAAAAGGAGAGGAAAAGGAAGGGAGGAAAAAAAGACAAATAGGTTAAAAAGAAGGAAAATCTAGTTTGCACATCTTTTCCGATCTAGATCTTTATAATCAGGCTGACAGATGATAAAAGATGGATGATAGATAGATAGATAGATAGATAGATAGATAGATAGATAGATAGATAGATACAGGTTTTCCATACATTGTAACCTTTTTTAAAATGACCACATCAGTGCATTATGTCTTATAGCCAAACGAGTGCTAGCACTTATGTGTTTTTTTTTTAGTGGTGCTTATGAGAAGATGAAATCAAGTGTATCGCTGGTTGCTGCAGAAAACAATTCTTTCTCCTTGTCCAGGAGTCTTCTTGAGTATCCACAATTATAATATATCAGCATACATCTGCCACAATGCAATATCTATATAAACCCTAAACAGTGCAATCTCAATCAATTTCTACATTTGATGATTTACAATTATTGATTGAAGAAAAGCAAACCATTGAAGTGCACAAAGAAAAGTGGATTCTTCAGTGCAACACTCACAAATATGTGCTTACTCCTGGTTGTACATATTTACATAGATGAAGTGCCATTTCCTGTGAATCCTGGACCATTGGTCACAGTCTGGTAAAGCAAATGCTGATCTCCACCCCTCACCAGCACACACCACCATAAGATGTATTCTCTCCAAGAACTGAAGAGCTGTGTGAAGAATGTGCTGTGTAGTATACCCCTCCTCTATGAATTTCAAATCAGATATTAAATATGTGCAACGGTCACAGAAGAACATGTACAGACCATTCCGATTAAAAGAATCTGATTCATTGATTCATTTTACAATAGGATTATCCTACCCTCACCCCATGTTCCACATAATATAATTGGTAAACATGACCTATGGACATCTAACAATGATATTGTATCACACACAGAGACCAAGAAACTGTTAGAAAAGCCCTGAAATACCTGCCTGAACTGAAGGAAGATGTGAAGAGCTCCAATACGTGCAGAGCTTCTGTCACTGATCCTTTATGCTGTCAGCCTCAATATAGCTACAGGTCAGATTACTCCAGCCCTAGTAAGGCTCTGGCAGGAGGTTGCAGTGCAGTACCCCACCCCTAATACTCTGCTAAGAACATACAGAGGAGGGGTACAGGAGCCTCTGCTTCCAATTTCAGTGCAACTCCCACAGTAAACAAGACAGCTTCCAATGTGTTAACAGACACCTGTCATCAACACTCTGGGCATTATGGGTGTCAACTCACCTTACGTTCTCTATGACGCACATTGGGTTGTGCATGTTCAAGAACACATGATGTCATATAAAATAAAGTATGTTGAATATGCAAGGAACACATCAAGTAAACAGAATGTTATGAAGATGTGTGGGACACTGGGACTAAGAGGACAGAAACAGGAAGGAGTAATAATTATTAGTGCCACCTAGTGACATAAATTGATGCAGCATGATTTCTGGTAATTCAATATAGAGAACTCTCCACCTCCTTGAAAAATTCATAAGACATTATATTTACCTTTGGAAAACCCCAGAAGTGAAAAGTGTAACCATGTTTAACATAATAGCCTATACATGCAGTAAAATAGGAACAGAATTTATATTTTCCTCCTTTTTTGCATATAACCACTGCTGTTATATGCATTCACTCTAGCAACTGCTGAATGGATTCCCACTTCCACATGACAACAATGGATCATGAAAAACCCATGCAAGGCATCATCAGCTGCTAGGATGCCAGTGACAGGGCCACACAAAGTCCCTGGTTGCTAGGATGCAAGCGCCTTGGCTGCACAGCATCACTGGTTGTTGCAGTGCAAGCGACTGCCTGCACCATAACGACCAGTAATGCTGTGTGGCGCGGGGGACACAGGGCTGAACATGTAGTGAGGACTGAGGTAAATGAGCTGCTATACTGTGCACTCTATTAGCCACGCTTCCTGGTTGGTACCCTTCCCAGGAACAACTTGAACAAGGACCATACTGGCAGAATCACCAGACAATATTTTTACTGAAAGCTGCAGATTTAAAAACATTAAAAATCCCCTTTGAGGTTATATTAAAATGTATATGCAACTTTAGTGACTGGATTTACATATACCTCAAACACTGAAACCCGTTAGCTCGGTCCTATCTGATTACCTCCATCTAGCACCACGAGATCTAAATCTTTAAATGTCACTCCCAGCAGGCCAGCTATGGAAATATGCTTTAATTCTACAAGGCTGCATTCGTCCTAGGATTTGGAAAGTAAGGCAAAATTCTATAAGCTGCTTTGATATACTGGGATTGATTTACAAAAGGCAAATAGGCTGTTTACTTTGCAAACGGAAGTTGCACTTTGCAAGGGAATTATCCCCAGAGCTTAGCAAATGAAGTGATGCTCTGCTGACTCCATCACCCAATCATGTGCGAGCAAAAATTCCTGATTTTATTTTCCTTTCACGCGATTGAATTTTGTTGAATGTGGTAAAATTTCCTATTGCAAAGTGCAACTGCCCTTATAAAGTGAACAGCCTATATGATTTTAGTATATCAACCCTATTATCTTTTTGGCTTGCGCTTCCTGCCCACCGGCACCGTAAACACTTTCTCTGCTACGAAACAGGGCTCAGTAAAGATGAGTGATAATGTGAAAACACTAGTCCTATTGCCAGTGGCACCACATTGAGGCATTTAATTCACATAAAAAATTGCATAGGTGTCTAATCATTTTCTCACACTATATAGTTATTTAGCCACAGCGAGCATTTACTTCTCATGTATTGTTATAATCTCAAGAAATCATTATCGCCCTTTCTTCTGCTCTCTTCAATAAACTTACAATTAATATAAACCGGAAGCTAGCAATATTTATAGGAACACCCCTGTGGATCACTTCTGTGAACAAGCTTTCACATATATATAAAATCTGAAAAAGTAGATAATCTGCATGCAGAACATTCAGTTGACGGGTGCAATGAGCTCTCAATTGAATTTAAACTAGTCAATCAAAAATACTTGACTGGAAAAATAGCACAGAATGAAACAGAAGAGGGAAAGAATCAGCAAATAAAAGAGTACTAAATGAAAGAGCCAGATCCTAAAATGACGGGTAATCGTGATGTGAAAATATCAGGACTGTTTGACACGTACACAGTCACTCTGCATCATGCAGGGATCTGTACAACATGTATTTCTAAGTCGTCTGCAGCTGGTCTGTGACAGTCTCACAATGGTCACACTCAGCACTGCTCCGTCTGGTTACTAGGATACAGGATGCTTAGTACCTAAAAACATCAGCATCTGTTCAGTCCACAGCCCTCCTGACAGCACACTACACTGCGCTGCATGTCCAGAGCCGCGGCTTCTCTCCCACATGGTAGCACTCTATGAAAACAGTCATGGAATGCAAAATAGGTAGATGTGGACAATTTTTAAAGTAACGCAACAAATAAAAATACCACCAAAATGGCAAACAAAAAGGAAATTGTAACAAAACAAAAAAAACTACTGCTAACTGAAACATCAACAATTCAAAAGGTAACTATAACAAATCTTGAGTGATAATAAAAACATAAAAACAATGACACTTTAATATCCCCCATTTTAGTACACCAATCCTTCTGCTGGCAATAATACATCTACAGATATCAGGGGCCTTAGAAATTGGAACTACTTGCAGATCCTTGGTTTTTGAAAGAGAACCTTAAATTCATTTTTAGGTAAAAATATTTTCCATCTGCACAAACAAAAAAAAATGAAAATCATGACTCCTGCCTTTAGGTCCAATGCACAATGCAAAAAAAAAATTGTAACTGCAGCTGAGAGGTTGCTAATCATTTCAGCAGAGCATACAAGTGCTACTCTGTCCTAGTCCAGTGGGTAAACAGTGCCACCCAGTGGCCAGAGGTGGAATCCTAAAAATTGTTGCTTGGCTAACTACCGCTACTGTTAACATTTTATTTTAGAACTCAATATACACATCTGTTAAGCAAAGTGCCTCTTTTACTCTGCACCACGTATATTATCTGGTACTAACATTTCATATCTCAAATAGAGCTTCTGTGGGAACTACCTTCCTGCACACAGGATCATTAAAGTCCCTGTAAACCATTACATATGCCCAGTGAAGTGACTGGCTTCAGATGAAACACAGAGATGAAACAAATCCTCCTACATAAATTGTACCTGTTTATCTATGCCTCCTTTCCCCTACCTTTCCTCTACATCTGTTCAAAGTGCAGAATATACAGAGGATCTCCCAGCTCTAAAAAGCAGGAGCTGAAATTACAATCAGCAAGCAGAGATCTGAGAGGTGATAGGAGGGAAGGGGCACACCCTCCTTTACACAGCTCACAGGAACAGAGTTGAGGAGGCCAATCTGCTGGCGGTCCCTCCCCTGTCACCATTTTTCTCTTGGTGTCAGGAAAACTCATCAGAAGTCATGCTTATATCAGAGGAATGAGGCGACAGAAATGACGCTAAGTACACTTGATTGAGACAAGCACACACTATAAAAGAGGTACTTTATTCATATTACATGTCTGAGGTTTACAGCCACTTTAAAGCTGAATTCCAGGAATTATCAGTATTGCATATGTACATTAGTGCACTGTGGTACAATGCAAGTAGGCATATCTCGTACCTGATGAACTGCTGGAGAAGCTGAAAATCATTGTAGTAATAGTCTACCTCTCTGCACACAGAACACAAGGGGGTTGCTTGCTAGCACCACTACCATTAACAGAACACCTTATATTTTTTTTAATGAACACAAGATTTTTTTTTATTACATGAGATGCAGAGAATGGGGGTAGTAATGTCACGCTGGCCCAAAGTACATATGCAATACGGATCATTCCTGCAGTTCAGCTTTAAGGTAAAGTATGTTTAAAGCCAAGTATGTTTAACCCCCCACCCCCAACTGGGGATATTTCCTGTCCAGAGAACTCCCCTCTAACACATCTGTCACTGTAACAGGTGTT